CACACAAGGCCTGGTGAGTTGTCATAGCAGGGGACAGCTAGGTGACAGAGGTAGAGATAACAAGTGCCTGATAGAAACATCCATCATCTCAAGTAGGATAAGGAGGAGGCAAGGCAGACAGGACACATCACTCCTTGCTTATGTTGGTGTTTTTATAATTAACATTTATTACTCCCCTAAGTTATTACTCCCAGTTATTCTGGAGGCTCAGGCAGGAGGATTGTAGGTTCAAGACCCAGCAAGACCCTGTCTCAAAATAAAAAGGGCTCGGAATGCAGCACAGTGACATAGTGCCCCTGGGTTCAGTACCACTACAGAAAAAAATAAAAAATAAAACATAGCTGGCACGGTGGCACACACCTGTAATCCCAGCAGCTCCAGAGGCTGAGGCAGGAGGATGGTGCATTCAAAGCCAGCCTCAGCAACTTAGTGAGGCTTTAAGCAACCTAGTGAGACCCTGTCTCAAAATGAAAAATAAAAAGGTTGTGGCTGTGGCTAAGGGCCTGGATCCAATCCCTGATATGTGTGTGTGTGTGTGTATAAATCAAAACACAAGTATATCCTTAAAATAAAAATATAACCAGTTTTTACCAACAGTCTAAATGGCAGGAGAACTAAGGATGGAAGGGAATGAACAAGAGCCTCCTGGCACACGCAGCTCTTTCCTTTTCTCTCCTGCAATTTGGTGAAGAACATCTATAACAGTCTCTGGTTTTCAGAAAGGATCCTCAGATAAATTGAGAAGGTCTCACAAACTTCCATAGGCAATAGCTTAAAATACACTGCTCATTTTATATTAGATTCACTTGGAGCACAGCAAGAGAAGAAAGGAAGCAGAAATAAGAGGAGTAAATACTTCCCACTGGAGTGACAAGATGTGTTAAGCATCGGGAAACCTGAGCTGCAAGAAGTATAAAAGTGTGTGCGCACGCGCATGCAATCTCCTCCATATATGCATAGGTAGATATATTTGAATTAGTTTTCCAGAGGATAGAGCCAACAGCGCGGGTGCACACGGTTCATCACCAGGAATCGATCGGTTCGTGCCATTCTGGGGACTGTGAGGTCTCCCTGCCTGTCATCTGCCATCGAGAGACCCAGCAGAACCAGAGTGAAGCCAGAGGCTGCTGTTGAAGCCCTGAAGTCTGGAACAAGAACCAGGAGCCCCAGTGTGCAAGGACAGGGTATCCCAGCCGTGGAGCAGAGAGCTGCCTTCCCTGCATCTCTTTGTTTGGTTCAGGCCCTCGATGGGTCAGATGGAACCCTCACATAGTGAGGGTGGGTCTTCTTCATTCAGTCAGATTCAATCTCTTCCAGAAGCATTGTCATAGACACACCCAGAATCATATTTTTGGGCATCCCGCAGCCCCTCAAATTGACAAATAGTTTAATATCCTGACACTCGCACGTCCGCACACACATACGTTTGCCGTTCATTTGACTTTTATTATTATTATGTTAGGTTGTATTTAAAATTTCTTAGTTTGAGATACAGATTCCCAGGAAGCCACAAAACACTACAGAGACGTCTTTTGTGCCATTCTTCCAGTTTCCTCCCATGGTATACCTCAAGTAAACAGGGCCCAACATTCAAACCAGGGCATTAACATTGGCATGGTTTGCACTTATAGTTCTGGGTCTTTTTTTGGTAGGGGCAGGTAACTGGGGATTGAACTCAGGGGCACTTGACCACTGAGCCACATCCCCAGGCCTATTTTGTATTTTACTTAGAGACAGTGCCTCACTTTTGCTGAGGCTGGCTTTGAACTTGTGACCCTCCTGTCTCAGCCTCCCTAGCTGCTGGGATTACAGGCGTGTGCCACTTCTTCTGGCTTGGTCCTTTTTCAAAGCAGTTTTATTGAGGTACAATTGATATACAAGGAACTGTAAAGGTACACATCTAGTGGTCCCCCCTCCCATCTGAGGGGGACATGTCCCAAGACACTCAAAGGACAACTGAGAGCTGTGGCAGAGCACTTGCCCAGCACGTGTGACGCACCACATAAAAATAAATCAAATAAAGATACTGTGTCCATCTACAACTAAAAACAAATTTAAAAAAAAGGACACGACACAGTGGGTAGTGCTGGCCCCCGTGAGCTCCTTCCCACACAGCTTCCCGCTGAAGGAGCACTCCCCCTCGCCCTGGCCCTCTGGGGCTACTGTAAGGCGAGGGGGCCCCGGGGGACGAGGGAGGACAGCACACACCGCGGGGGACACTGCACAGGGCAGGCCTCCCGGCCCCGCAGGGCTCAGCGAGCTGGGCAGGGTTTAATCATCGACTTCTGGAATTCTCATCTTTGGCTGTGGTCGCTAGGGTAACCGAAGTCACCGCCGCAGAAGGTGACTCTGGTGCTGGCTGCAACGGGCCGCCGCCGCTCGGGCCGGACGGGTGCTCGGCCGCCCACTCGCCCCCGCGTCTGCCCGCTGTGTGCCCGGCCACCACCCTTGGGGTCCTGACGGCCGGGCGGCGGCTTTGGAACTGACCCCA